GTCCGTCTGTCCGTCTGTCCGTCTGTCCGTCTGTCTGTCCGTCTGTCTGTCTGTCTGTCTGTCCGTATGAACGCTGAGATCTCGGAAACTATAAAAGCTAGAAGATTGGCATTTTGCATGTAGATTTTAGAAGTTCCTACGCAGCGCAAGTTTGTTTCAAAATGGTGCCACGCCCCCTTTAACGCCCACAATCGCTTATATACGATTTTAAAAATTTAAATATTTCGGAAAAGTAAAAATGCAGTTTTATTGTGTTTATCAATACCTATCGAAATGTAGAAGAAATTTTTCAAATCGGACCATTCGATAAAAAGTTATGCGTGATCAAAGTTTCTATCTCCATCTCCCTCGCACTCCCTTTACCTGAGTAACGGGTATCTGATAGTCGTGGCTCCCGACTATAGCGTTCTCTCTTGTTTTTTTTGAATTTATTTATATTTCTTCCGGTTTAGTAGACTAACTTATAATTTTGTCGCAAGCACGCTCAATTCTTTGTCTGTTAATAATAATGTGTAGACTGTGTCAGGGTCTGTATAAAGCAAGAACAACACCCCCAAAGCCGACGAGTTAGTGCCGGACCCTATAGCGTGCCCCGCAAGTACAGATCCCTTAATTCCAAACACTTCAGCCGAACGTTACACGCTACAGGGTGTTGACTTACAACCTAAAAACCATCGAGTTAACTTTATCACAATTAACTCCATCAAGACATAAAAGAAGCATTAACGAATTAGGCACCATTTTAAAATGGATAGCTGGAACCTCAGACCATGATGATTTTACAACAATTCATTACAAAATTAACGATTTAATTTAAAATAATAATAAGCAACAGAAATTTTTTTTTTTTTCTTAAACTTTGCTTTTATTTATTGAATCTTCTCTTAATTTTGAGACTAACCATAAGTTTACAAATTTTAACATTAAAATTTAACTAACAGTATAATAAGACTGCATTCTGGATGCGCGTCCTTCAAGTCGGTCGCTGGGTGGGTAAGTCATTGCGACGAATATGACTATGTCAATATTGCTATTGCTGGCATTCCCCCATAGCTGAGAGCCCTACATCCATATAGGTTTTAGTACCGAGTTATACAGCAGGACTTAATACTCAAGACTAAGGGGAGACCGAGCGTTGATGAGCCAATGAAGGCTACTGGCTTTTAGCTTTAGGTGTGTTTTTGGCTTCAATGTGCCGGCGCCATGTGAGGCTTCTGTCGAGATCCTTGCGGGAGTGGAGTATGGTTTGACATGAGCGGCGGGCAGTTTTGCCTGTTCAGGGTGAACGTAACGTGCTTGCATTTTTGTTCGTTCACTTTAGGTTAGGTTAGGTTAGGACGGCTGCCAGACTGTAGCCTGGTACACTTAGACCTCTGTGGGTCCATTGTGATACCGTATGATCTCTATTTTTGGGTCCCCTATCCGTTAAGAGTCAGCCTGAAGGTTGGTCGATCAGCAGGTCCCCCATCCGGAGGATTTAATAAAAGAGTTTAGACTCTTCAGGTTAGTCTGCGATATTTCGGTCAGGTCATTTATGAAAGGATATCCTAAGTGTTTCAGTCTAAGCCTGCATAGGGCTGGGCATCAACAGAGTAGGTGTTCCACCGTTTCCTCTTCTTCCTCATCCCTGCAGCTTCTACAAAAATCGTTTTTTGGGGCTTTTAGCCTGCCGGCGTGTGCGCCAACGAGCCAGTGGCCTGTGAGTACTCGAATTAGCATGCCGTACTCAGTGCGGCTGAAATTGAGTAGTTCTGATGTTTTCTTATTGTTTATTACAGGCCATGTCTGGTGAGAGATTCGGCATTGCGGTGTGTCTTGCCAATAAGTGTTGGCTAATTTGCTGAAATGGTTTTTAATAATTAGCTTGCAAGTAGCCATAGGCATGCCGACATTCTCCTTTCCTGGAAGGAGAGGTATGGTGGTGCCTTGCCTGGCTAGCTCGTCTGCTATACAGTTGCCTAAGATATCCCGGTGACCCGGAACCCATATAAGGCTGACAGTAAGCAGACTAGCCATCTCGTGGAGAGATTTGCGACAGTCTGCTATTGTTCGGGAGCTTGTATTTGTCGAGTAGATTGATTTAATAACCGCTTGGCTATCACTATATATGTTTATGTGTTTGTTCTGGGTGTTTAAGTCCCTTAAACAGACAAGTGCTTCCATTATAGCATACACTTCCGCTTGGAAGACACTGCAGTGGTCAGGAAGTCTGAATGACCGCCTGATCTCTAATTGCTCGGAGTATATGCCTACACCTACGTGTCCGTCTAGTTTGGAGCCGTCTGTATATAAACAGATTGCGTCTATTGAGCCCGGTCGGCCACGATCCCAAACTTCCCTGCCTGGGATCAAAACTTCGAAGGGCGTGTGATTGTATTCACAAGTTTTACATAGATCCGTTTTTGGCGGGATCAATTTGTCATGCTGACGAATCTTAGCGTGACCATACAGTTGGGCTTTCCATTGCCCTGTATCCCTTAGTCGAATGGCTGCCGATTTCGCCCTTTCCATTCCTGCTAAGTCCAGGCTCTGGAGGTTCAAGATCGAATTCAGCGCTTCGTTTGGGGTAGTTCGAAGGGCTCCACTAATACACAAGGCCGCCATGCGCTGTACTTTGTTAAGGGGAGTTAAGATACATTGTTTGTGTAAAGCGGTCCACCACAGAGCCACTCCATATAGTAGGATTGGCTTGACTACCGCTATGTATATCCAATTGACGATTTTAGGGGACATACCCCATCTTAGCCCGATTGCTTTTTTACAAGAGTAAAGTGCAATGGTCGCTTTCTTGGTTCTCTCTTGGTTGTTTAAGCCCCATTTAAGACGCTTATCTAATACTAACCCCAAGTATCTTGCGTGCTCGCTAAAAGAGAGATTACAGTTGTTTAAAGTGGGTGGGCTAAGTTTTGGGATTTTGTATCTATTTGTAAAAAGGACTAGTTCCGTTTTTAAGGGATTTACCCCAAGTCCGTTCTTTGTAGTCCATTCCGATAGTGTTTTTAGTTTTGCGGTCATAAGATCGCATAACGTTTGTGGATACTTACCATTAAAGATGATAGCGACATCGTCTGCGTATGCCACTATTTTACAGCCTCCTCCTTCAAGAATCCGCAGTAGCTTATTTACCGCGATATTCCATAAGAGGGGTGATAGTACACCTCCTTGCGGAGTGCCTCTGTTCACTAATCTAGTCTGGGTCGAGGTCCCTAGTGTGGCCGTGACTGTCTGCTTATCAGCAATTTGTGGATCAGCCCCACCAGCGGTGGCTCAACCCCAAGTTCAGTGAGGGATTCTGTTATTGCCGTGGGAAGCACGTTGTTGAAAGCTCCTTCTATGTCAAGGAAGGCGATCAAGGTGTATTCTTGTATACTGAGTGATTTCTCGATGTTGCTCACTACCAAGTGTAGCGCCGATTCGGTCGACTTACCTTTGGTGTATGCGTGTTGCGCCTCTGATATCTGCGTCGGGTCAATGATGTCTCTAATGTGTAGACCTAACAGTCTTTCTAGGAATTTTAGCAGGAATGATGTCAGACTTATCGGTCTGAAATCCTTCGCTGTAGTATGGGTGGCTTTCCCTGCCTTAGGGATGAAAACGACTTTCGTTTCCCGCCATGCTGTAGGTAGTTCTCCTACTGCAAGAATGGTCTGGAAGATTTTTCTCAGCCAGTTTATAGCTAGTTCTCCTGCTTGCTGAATATGTGCCGGTGTTATATTGTCCGGTCCCGGCGATTTGTATGGCTTAAAACTATGAATGGACCAGTTTATATTACGGTCTGATAGTAGGAGATTTAACTTTATTCCTTCTCCAGTGTGTCTTCCTGGGGGATGTCCTGTTTGCAGGCTCCCTGGGAAGTGAGCGTCTAGGAGTAGGTTTAGGGATTCTTCACTAGAGTCCGACCATGATCCGTCAGCCTTTTGGAGATAGCCCAGGGATACGGCTGTCTTAGAAAGTATTTTTTCTGAGCCTTGCGGCATCAGTTGTCTTTTCAATATCCGAGCAGAAGTTCTGCCACGCAGTTCTCTTCTCTTTTCTGATGGCCTTTTTGTATGTGGCTAGTTCCTTTTTGTAGCTTTGCCAGTTTATGTCCTCATTTGCAGCTTTCGCTCTGTTGAACAGGATTCTGCATTTGGCTCTGAGGATTGATAATTGCTGGGTCCACCAAAGAGGTTTTTTCCTTCCTCTTGGTTTCCCTAACGGGCATGCAGCTGTGAATGCCGCGTTGCATGCTTCGGTGAATTTGTTTACTATATTATCTAGCTCCTGAGTGCAAAGAGTGCTTTCTGGTGGCTCCCTGGGGAGGAAGTTCGATAGAATTTCTTTGTATTTATTCCAGTTTGCCCGCCTGGGGTTGGCAAAGCTGACCGGCGCAGGTGACACTAGGGACAAAGTTGTCTCTATAAACCTATGATCTGAAAATGAGTGCTCGTCGGAGACAGCCCAGTTTGTGACTGTGCTTATGAGTGAATCTGATGCCAGGGTTAGATCTATGATCGTTTGGCACGTTTTTGTTATAAAAGTAGGGGTATTGCCCCTATTACAAAGAAATAAGTTCGAATTAAGAATGAAATCAAATGAAGACTCACCTCTGTCGTTGTTGATAGGGCAGCCCCACTGAGTATGGTGGGCATTTGCATCGCATCCTATCACCAAACCTTTCTTAAGCTCTTCACATTCCTGTACCAGTCCTCTGACTAGCGCGTCTGGGGGGTCTACCTTCAAAAGCCATGTAGGCCGATAGCATCCTAAAAGAGCCGCTTTGCAGCTCCAGGCTTATTGCTGTGTTGTCTCCGTTGCTGTAGTTGCGAAGCAGAAATGTACTAAGATGCCGTTTGGCTAAAATGCAGGTTCGAATTTTACCTTGTTTGGGGTCAAGCATAAGCTTGTAATCTTTTGTTCCTAGTCCAGCAAACCTGCCTCCTGCTACCCAGGGTTCCTGAACTAAGACCACGTCGGCTTCGCCTTTGGCCAGGCGAAGCAAAAGAGCAGCGGACGCTGCTTTACTGTGATGTAGGTTGATCTGCAGGAGTTTTAGCGACATCCCCAGCTGCAACCTCCACCACAATAACGTCGGCCTCCGAATCGCTCAGGTCCACTTCGTCGATTGCCGGTCCCATCGCTCGCATCTCTCTGCTCAGCGACGAGTCGGTTGAATAACCGTCCTCCGGCACACCAGGGGCCTCCACTTCCTCCGCAAGCACCTGCTCAGCTGGGTTGCCGGCAGGACTTCCCGAGGAATTAGAGTCCCCTTTATATATCTTGATATGTATGGCACTGAACCCATAGTTGAGCGTTTCCCGAGCAGCCTCTATGAGAGCGACCGACTCCTTATTCAGCACCACGATCGCTTGGTTGACGTCACCTACGTGCTCCTCCACCTTAACGACTTTCCAGTCTTTTGTGAGGAGATGTGGGTTGCATTCTTGCAACATATAGAGGATGTTTTCCGGTGATGCGATTGCTGCTGGGAGCCAAATTCTGGCTCGCGGTCTACTGGGGACGTCACACCAATCTAGTGCGACTATGTTCGCCCCTACGTAGACTGCTCCGAGCTGAGCTACCGCCTGTTTATATAGGTCAGCTGATCGCTGATTATCGCAGGCCACCACTTTTACGCTGCCCTGGTACCAGCCCGCGTCCATACAGCAAGGCGCTGAACCGGGCTTCTCGCGTACCATACGCAGGCAAATGAGAGACAGCTTGGACTCAACCGCCATCCATTTATTTCTGGGGATCCTGTTCTCCGGATTTCCCCTATCTATAAGTCCAAGTATTACCCGATCTTTGGTGATCTCGGCAAAGGAGACCGACGGCTGGATCTTCGATCTCTTCGCCGACGGACCGGGCAGCTCTATGGAGCGTTGCCTCTTCGCCTGAGCACCTTCTTGTTGGGGCTTCTCCTGCCCATAGTTGGGAAACACCGTCCTTGCCCACTCTACCTTCTTAAGCCATTCGGGCGAAGGCGTGGCGACATTGTTTCTGGCATGCGAGCGCAGGGTTTGGGCGGCAGTCCGTCTCTCTGCGTATGTAAACTTCTTTGCACCAGCGGGTGACCCGATCGACTTTGGTGCGCCTACCGCTGGTTTTGGCGCAGATGCGCACATAGCGGAGGCGTAAGCGACAGTCCCAAACTAGGGATGTCGGGGGACAGAAACCCCGACATCCCTAGTTTGGGATGGGGCCCTTTCTGAGCCCTACTGGTGCTTGCAGTGGAACCATCGTTCGTCTTTGCAGCGCCGGGTTTTTGTGGAGTTCCCGTCTCCGTTTTTTTGTTTGTGCTTTTATTTGTTGCTTCCATAGTTGGTCCCACGAGCTGCGGAGAAGGGGAAAGGTCCGCCCGGGCAGAGATCCGCGCTACCCGGGTAAGGCGGTTGATAGAACAGGGGGTCGCCATCTCCCTGAGCCCTCCGTTTGAGACTGAGCTAGTTGTTGATCCGGGCCCCCAGCCAGGCTGACTCTTGGCACGGTCCGAATTACACCGTAGTCCGGCCCGGAGTGAGATGTTGTTTGGGAGAGGAAGTGGGTAGGTGGTGTGTGGGGGATATTGGGCTTGTGTAAAGCAACTGTTTAGATGCGGCTGAACAAATCGCATCGTCGGTACTGCCTCGTTGCAAGATACCCGCTGGTTGTCCGGGACTGCTTATTTGCTGGGGTTTCCGTCCACGATTCCGTGTTTGATTGTGATCGTTCACTTTAATTCGCCAATCTTTTCAACATCGACCAGATGAATAGCTAGCTGCGCAGTTGCTTGTATCGGGCATTTGAGCGGCTGAGAATGGCTGTAAGGTAAGACTCTAAAAGCTTATGGGTGTTGTAGGGGAGCATTGTCTTGATCTTGTGCATTAGACCTTCTATCCAAACTCTATCAAATGCTTCAGAGACGTCTAAAAATATTGCAGTACAGTACTTTCGTTTTTCGAACGCGTTCCGAATTTTTGATGTTATCCGGTTGACCTGCTCAATTGTTCCGTGCTTTTCACGAAACCCAAATTGATGTGACGGAATTCCTTCCTGGATTCTTAGGTATGTGTTTATCCGAGTCAATACGCATTTTTCAAAGAGTTTAGATAAGCATGAATGTAGGTTTATAGGTCTATACGAGGTGGGAATTGTGTGGTCTTTTCCCGGCTTTGCTATCATTATTATAATCGACTTTTTCCATCTCACTGGAAAGTGGCCCAGTTTTGCGATGGCATTAAAAAGTTGGGTGATAGGGCGAACGGCGCAATATGGGAGCTCAGTGATCATTTTGGGAGTTATTAGGTCAGCTGATTTTTGATGATGTTCACGATTTCGTTTGGGCGAAGCTCAATTGGCTCATGTTGAAGCTGAGGCTCATATGGTAAAGTCGGCAAAGTGAACGCACTAGTGGCAGGATTTGGTTGGAAGACATTTTTAAGGTGGTTGGCAAATGTGCTGGCTCTGTCTGCATCGCTGCGGGCCCAGCCGCCTGTGCGATTTCTAATAGGCATCACAGTTACTTTCGGTGAGCTTAGAGTTGGGTGAGCTCTCCATAGTGAGTTTTTTGTACTAGATGTTGACAATTGCTCTATGTAGCGTCGGTGGACATGTGCTTCTTCTTGCTGTACAGCTTTTGTGAGTTGACGTGAGGCATATTTTAAGCGTTGTGGAGTTGCCACTCTCGCCGTAAGCGTCGCTTTTCGAGGACGAGCTGTTCCATTTGTAGATTTGTCTTCTTTTGGTTGCTTTGAGTACTTGTAGTTTGGGGTGTTGAACTCAAGCTGCAGAGACGAGTACAGACTCCAGTGTATTAACAAATCTGTCTACGTTGGCTTCATCGTTGAGTTACGAGACGTGATCCCCAGTGTATGTGCTTGGCGTTGTAGTCCCCTGCTGCTATGAAGTGGTCTCCTAGTGAGTTGAAAAACTGCATAAACTCATCTTCGGCTATAGTGAAGCGAGGGGGGCAGTATACGGCGGCTAGTGTAAGTTGGTTGCCAGTATCTATTTGTATATTTATAGATTTGTTATGATAGTGGTGCTTAATACGGCTTCTGATTAGAATTCCAGTCCCACCATGTGCTTTTCCATCTGGATGATTTGTTCCGTAGAATAAATAACCTCGTAGTTGAAAATTGTATTTGTTTGTAACGTGTGTTTCTGAAAGCAGCATTACGTCGATATGGTTGTCGAGTAGGAATTGAGCTAACTCAAGTTTATGCTGTGAGACGCCGTTAGCGTTCCACGTAGATATCCTTAGGGAAGTCATTATTTGGATTGTTGTGAAACCAGCATTTGAATGAATAGATTTTGGTTTCGCATTAAATCTTTCATAGTTGTGCGCATAAACGACATAAACTCCGTAAGGCTTTGTTGCTGGCTGTATATCATATCTTTCAAGGGTTAGCCAGTCCTGATTTTAAGGCGCTTGCGTAAGTCACATTTTTATCAGAGTTTAAGGGTCCTAGTGAAGATCTGGCTGCAGTCGAGAAGAAGACTTCAGGGTTTGATCTGGAAGCTGTCATCTGTTTATTTTGGGTGCGGGCGATAGTTCCTCTCTGGTGGATGCGACTTTTCAGCTCCTTATAAACAGGGCAGCCTCTGTAGTTAGCAGTGTGATTGCCACCGCAGTTGCCGCACTTTTTCGAGTTGCAGTCATCATTTGCTCGCTGGGCAGTGTGCGGAGTCATGAAGATCTCCACAAACTACACACACCGGGCGCAGTTTACAGTATGACCTTGTATGGCCATATTCTTGGCAGTTCGCACATTGTACCGGACCATTGCATTTGTGCGGTTCCTTAACTGTAATTCTGCGGTGCAGCAGGAACTGAAGATTGTAAATGGGGTGCACTTCGTATTTCTTTAGGGTCTTATTTTCTGTTTCGAGCTCAACCTTAAAGAGTGGCAGCGGCTTTCCATCCCTGTTAAGGATGTTGAAGACTGCCTAAGCGTTAAATCCCTTCTCTTGAAGCTCCTTTGTTATCTCTGCAGGCGTTACGTCGGACTCTATGCCCTTAAGTACGACTTGCAGGCCGTTGCCACTTTTTAGCTGATACGTGTAAAAGTTCTTTTTATTCTCGATAAGTTATTTCGATAATACTTTGTAATTATCTTCAGACTTCATTTGAACCTTTGTCTCTTTGATGTTGCCCTTTACTAGAGGTATTAAGTGGAAGTTATCCTTTCCAATAAGGCTTAGCACATTCATTGTTTTTGTTTGATGATGTCATTAAGCGCGCAGTCGATACAGTTGCAGTTGTTGTTGTAGTTACAGTTGACGTTGTTAAAGAAATTACGGTGCTAGTTACTGCTGATGGGCTTAGGTTATTGCATACTTGATTTGGGGCACATTCAGCGCTCTTTGGCAGCAGAGACGTCGATGGTAGCAAGGGGGAGCAAGAACGCGCTCCCCATAGTTACCAAGTTGGGGGGTAATTGCCCGCCCTTGCCTTATTTTATTCAGAGCTTGCCTTATTTTCGGTTGCTTTAAAAGAGAAGTACGCGTTATTTCTTTGTACTGAGTGCCGTCTCTCGTCTTGCTCACGTTGACATTGTGTGCGAACGTCGTTCAGACTCATTGTATTCGTGGTAAAGTTAGTTAGAGTTTTAAGTGTTAAGTTTTATATTAATTAAATGACCAATCAATATAAACATTCGCTATTTCATCGCAGAAAGCAACAGATAATAAATTCCAAATTGTTTGACGAAGTTAAGAAAATATCTACCACATTAAATTCAGTTTTCACCCATTAAGAAATACCTTTCAGAAAACGACGCTTACGCCTAATTACTCTTGACTTAAAAAAATTTAATTGACACCATTACTGTAGCAAAAATCGACATTTTTAACACAAAAATATTAAGCCAGGACGATATTCAAGAAATTTATAAAGATGAGGAAAAACCTATCATGATCACAGATCTAATTTATATTTCCGAATTAAGAATTGCACTACACAAATAATTATTTGTAGTTTATATTCGGTATCCAGTCATTCAAGATCAATGCGATACATATTTCGCCTGAGCTATTTTTTAAAATGATGGCAAATTAGTTGTTCAGGCCACGAAGCACCTAGTTTTTTGCCCGCTCTTGTCCGCTCCGATCGCCAACTCCCCCGCTCTGGCTGCCTGCGCTTCCAGGCTCTCCATGAAGTCTCCGTGAAGTTTTCAGTACGCTCGGAAGTGCATCGTGCTAATTATGTTTAAGCAGTTTTCTAACGACTATCTACAAATAAACATCGCCCGTCCGCTCCGCTCAATTTTTCGAAAGCCTACCGTGTTTTTTAATTCACTTACGTTTTTACTTCGCGCCGAGTGCTCTTTCTAATCTCCCTTCACAGCTTTGCTGCCTCCGAAAGGTTCATCGCCCCAGAACATTTTGATCATTCGACCGGATTTTCCAGCGCCAAATTACCACAAGATAAGTACGAACTTACATATATAAAATTTTTTTAATTGCCGGTCATCAGTAAGCCATAGAAAACTCCGTTTCGTTTGACTTTATGTATGATTTGTCTAAAATCAAACTCCCATTAATCCGACAACGGCAATTAAAATACAATTTAGCCTTTCCTTATTCTCCTTTGATCGTGCGGCCATTTTAATCCATTTTCCTTTTGTGAAAATCAAGTACCTTTGGAGTACATCAAAGCCAATTACATACATTCAGAAATATACATAAGCGTACAAATTAACTTTCTCATTTGTGAATTAGTTTAAAAAAATTTATTTTTATTTTTTATTATCACTTATTCACTATTACAATTTTTCAATAGATCGAACTTATTTTATTCACTGCTCTTTTACTTTTCACTTGATTTTTCTTTGGTGCTCGGTTCGGATCTCAAAAACGGACTGGACTCCTTGAGTTCAATGATCAATAATCAAACTTCGGCTTAAGAGATTTATCTCAAACAAGAAAGGAAAGCTAACTTCGGGCGGAGCCGAAGTTGATATACCCTTGCAGAATACTCTGTAAATTATATTCTCCAAAATTATTCATATGATGCATTCTTAATACTCATAAAAAATCCCAACTTCCTAACTTTAAAAACAACAAAGTTATGGCATTTCCAATCGTTCAGTTATAAGGCAGCTATAGGATATAGTCGGCCGATCCCTATGAAATTTGGTAGGTC